CATTAGGTGCATACTTGTTATCTGAAGTGAATTACGATGCAGTTTCTACAGTGACAGAACTGCTGGAGGAACGCAGAGCTTCACTAAAGACTGCAGTGGGTAAAACTTCAAGTAAATTTACCTGTATATGGTTTATCATAGTTAACCATTATGATGGTCTCTTTAATTGACCTTTAACCTCTGAGATAAAATAACACAACATAATGAGAGGAATTAAGCCTACATTTATACAGAAGGAATTATTTATAATCACTTAAAGTGTGTAAATCTGGTGAAAGGGCCTATACAAAAATTAGTATAGTAGGCTAGGCCAGTGGCGTTGCGAGGGGGGGGGGGGGGGGGGGGGGGGGGGATGGGGGGGGGGGGTGGGCTTTGGGGGCTTAAGCCCCTGATGTATTGTCAAAAGCCCCTGATCTTTTGCAATATGTTGCACTTAAATAAAAATATAAGTATATATAATAAATAATATATAAGTATATATAATGGTGTATAACATTTAATTTGTTATCAAAGTACTGAAAATTACGGCGTACATCACGCACATTCCACCTCACGCACTGTTTCTGTCGGGTCAGCTGTTCAGCAGTACCTGTATCTACCGGCAGGTGGGAGTGGCACTGTTGTCACATGATGTTTAAAAAATTCCGCCACTGCACTTCATTTATTCATTATTTTGAAGAGCTGAAGTTGATGAGGTAATAATACAACTCTTTTGCGAAACTGAATAGTTCTAACTACTAGTGAAGTGAATCTTAACATTTGTTTTCACAGTATAAAATGTGTGTAGTTTTGGTGAAATAAAATAACTGTAATCGATAAAATGTGCATCATATAAATGCATACATGCAAATTAGACAGAAAAACGTAAATTGTTCTAGCTTTCTAGATATGATATAGATATCTAGGCATATTTATCTAGATATGATTAAAGTTAAATCACAGTGAGTTCATGCATCTAGCATATTGTATAGCTACATTCTACTTTAACATGCTATGTCAATTAGCAGGGGATTATAAATCGACTTTCTTATGAAAATACCTGAGATGGCTGGAAGAAGACATACAATTGAAGTCTGATTAGCCCCAGTTGAATTATTAGCCCCCTGTTCATTTTTTCCCCTAATTTCTGTTTAACAGAGAGAAGATTTTTTCAACACTTTTCAGTTTTAACAGCTCATCTCTAAAAACTGATTTATTTTATCTTTGCCATGATGACAGTAAATAGTATATGCCTAGACATTTTTCAAGACACTTCTATACAGCTTAAAGTGACATTTAAAGGCTTTAAAGGCAGGTTAGGGTAATTAGGCAAGTTATTGTATTATGATGGTTTGTTCTGTAGATTATCAGAAAAAAAATTTGCTTAAAGGGGCTAATAATTTTGACCCTAAAAGGGTGAAATAAAACGAATAAGAATTTCTTCAAAAGAAAAAATATTATCAGACATACTGTGGAAATTCCCTTGCTCTGTTAAACATAATTTGGGAAATATTTAAAAAAGAAAATAAAATTCAAAGGGGAATAATAATTCTGACTTCAACTGTATAAACATTTATTATCGCAGTCATGTAAATGATTAGTTAAAGCCTTTTTATGTTTATTCAGATCTTATGTTCATTCAACTACAGCAATAGCTGGATGCCTTCATCCATATTAAGGATTTCCTGGACTGTTCTACTACTTTTGTGAGGCATATCTGGAAATTCTGCTCAATGAATGAATAAAACAGGCATTACTTGCATTTAAAGTGCTACAATGCCCACATTACCTTATTTTGAGGAAAACTGAAAAAAATCTACCTCAAAAGAAATTTGAAGTAAACACATTTCTAGCATATAAATCTTTATTTTTATTTTTTTACTATTTTTGATAAAAAAATTTTACTATGTCAAAAATAGTAGCCTATTGAATATCAATATTTTGCAAGGTATTGAATTTAGAAATTCCAGTATCTTGACAAAACTACACCTTAGTTAATTTGTTTGTAGCTTTGTATCACATTGGATAACAACTCACAATATAAAATTAATCATATTTTTTAGATTTGAAGACATGCAGACAATTACATTTTCAAAAAACAAACAGAAACTGCAAATCAGGAGAGGAGATAGGAGGCTCAAGAGGTATGATATGGCTCACAACAGACTAGTAAATGAGAAGTGGGATAATTAATTAATGTTTTTATTTTTCCTTTTTGGTGTTACAAGTCACAAAGCTTCAAAATTTATTGCTAAAAGTCAACTCAAAAGCCCTATTTATTATTAAACCATTTATAAATCTATTATAAAAGTAGATTACCTTTTGAAAGTAGTGGTATTTTAGCGGGGTGAATTAGAACATTATAATTTTTTTATTGGGGGGGGGGGGGGGGGGGTCTTTGGGGCTAAGCCCCTTATCCCTTTTGACCCTAGCAACGCCCCTGGGCTAGGCTACTAGAGTTTTTAAACAATACAGGCAGGGGTGCCGCAAGGGGTGAGAGGAGGATGGGGGAGTTAGAACGATTGTAAGGGACCACTTCGTTTTGGGGCCCCCATAGATACTATTATAGGGGCCAACCAGAACCACAACCGATAACAGCCCCCACCACCCCGCTAGCCACCCTCCTCCTCCTCACTCGACACCCACGAAATGTTTTCACAGGGCAGCGGGACTCCTTCATACACTAGTAAAGTGTATTATATTGTAAATGTTATAGCAGTGGTTCTCAAACTGTGGTACGTGTACCACAAGTGGCACGCAGGCTTCCTTCTAGTGGTATGCGGATGAATCACTGAATAATTTATGTAAATTAACACACTTTTAACCCTTGACGCATAGGATAACAACAATGTGATCAGGAAATTGATTCTAATAGGCTAAACCTTTTATTTTATTAGTTTATTATGTAATCTATCATTTGAAGCTAATCCTCTCCCCATATTTGTACTGGTTGTTGAGGGCGTATCCCGTATTTTTATATCCAAAAATTGACAGGTATGGTTTGATGACTTGCTTTTGTGACACACAAAGCCTATAACACGCAGTAAGCAGATCTAATTTCTAAATTAAATATGTAAATCCAAATCATACATTTAAGGTTAATGTTTAGATTTCAAAGACATACAAGTAAATCACATGCAATATCTATTTAAATAAAAAAAAAAAAACATTTTATATATGAATATGATCACAAATAGCCTATATTTATGAGGTCCAAGGAACATTTCCAAGTTTTTTTTTATGACTAGGCCACTATATGTTAATTCTTTCCATTTAAATACAGCAGTTTTATTTTCATATTGAAGAACAGTGCCATTTTAATTAACTTTTAGAAGCATATTTTAATTTAAACATTTTTTTTTACCACCTGTAAGCATAGGGCAGTGTTAACGTTCAAGTTATTATGTTTAAAATGGCTGACAATAATAAATATTTATAATAATAGAAATTAATCTGCCTCATTTTTTAACTGTTTAGCTTTGGCTGCTTAATTAGGCATACTACGCTACGGGATTTCAATATATTATGGTAGTACTTGGAGAGACATTTTTTTCTGAGGTGGTACTTAGTGGAAAAAAGTTTGAGAACCACTGTGTTATAGTATTTACATCACTTTGTTAATAAATGCTAGTGAATGCAAATTTACAAATTGACAAGTGTATGTACAGGTATATACAACGTCATATGTGCAGCTGTAATGTGCAAATTTGCATGCAAAGTGTGCTGTTAAATAAGTGTATACGTGTATAACAAGTATGCAAGTAGTGATGTTTGTTCCACAATTATTATCATCAAGTGTTCATGAGATGGATTGCCTGAGGGAAGAAACTGTTTCTGTGTCGGGCTGTTCTGGTGCGCAGTGCTCTGTAGTGTCGACCAGAAGGTAAAAGCTCAAAGAGGCAGTGTGCTGGGTGTGAGGAGTCCAGAGTGATTTTGGCAGCCCTTCTACTCGCTCTGGATAAATTACAGTTCTTGGATAGTAGGGAGGGTTGTAGCAATGATTTGCTCAGCAGTCCGAACTATTCGACATAGCCTTCGAAGGCCAGATGTAGTGCAGATGACTGATTCAATGATGGAGGTGTAGAACTGTTTCAGCAGCTCCTTTGGGAGATTGAACTTCCTCAGCTGACGAAGAAAGTACAGCCTTTTATTACTAGTTCTTCCATGTTTGAATTACTACAAGAGATTATTTCAAGCTCTAAATCACTATATTAGCTCAAATAAAGGACTTATTAGTATATTTCATGTGTGTTTAGATTGCAGAAACACTAATAATCTGTCATTACAGGATTTTGTGCTCATAATAAATTGTGTTTATTTGAAATATACACAGGATGATTTTAGAGATAAATATGTGATTGAACATATGTTTGCAAAAAAATGACATGTTGGTTAATGGTAAATAAAAAAAACACATTATAATATATTTATTTACAATCAAATACATTTAAATTGAATCATTGTAATGTTTTCAATAAAAAACAAATAATCTGAATGTTTAGTTATGTTGTTGTTATGATGATAGTTTTATTAATCAAGTGTTTAACACAAGTCTAGTTTAGAAATGTAAATGTGCATGTTATAAATACGAAAGTACATTTAAAATATTAAAATAACATTAATATATATTAATTAAAACGATGCATTTTAATTGTATTTTTAGAATATAAGAATGCATGATACCATGATATAATATCTATATTGCATAATCGTTTAGCTAAAATTAAAAATAATATAATATCTTAAATAACTTACCAACCAACCAACCAAGCAAGTAAATAAATAAATAAATAAATAAATAAATAAATAAATAAATAAATAAATAAATAAATAAATAAATAAATAAATAAATAAATAGAGTGTTGAAAAAGAAAGAAAGAAAGTACTATGCTACTATTATATTTTGGAGAATACCACGTTACTCTTGGATATACGTAGTTCGTGTTATTATAATGTCACTGTTCATGTTGTACAGTAACGTTAACTGTTCCTCGTCCTTTCTGATCCTCTCGAGGACCCGTAGCTGCTCACTTTTTCCTCCACGTCAGCTGCTTCTGCGCACTGCTTTCATCCACAGATACATCAAGTTTCATCCCCTGCTGAACGGACAGTCAAATCTTTCCTAAAGTGACAATTATCGCATGGAGTGATGTTTAAAAAGCTGAAGCAGAAGGTTATAGACGAGCAGTCGCCTCAGCGGAGCAGCGCGCAGCCGCAGGTCAGTGCACTTTACCCATGTAGCATGTATGCTAACAAAACAAAACAAACAACATCAAGTATATTGTTCACTGACAGTTTAACACTCGTATTAGTATAATATAGATATAAAGTATAGTGTTAGCTTTTAGGATCAATGTTAAACTAGATGTTTGTGTATACGCTTACAAAGTAGCACCAAAATATGGTGGTGTCAGATGATTATTATGTGGTACTTTGATTTATTTATTTATACTGTGGTAATGAATGATTGCCACATGATTGCATTCTGATATTTACATGTTACTCCAGGATATTTCCAATAAATCTGATATTTCGTGACATTTGTCATGTATTATAGTGTTGCTGTTAGTCATCTTATTAATATTTGACTTACTGTAACGTTACTAGTGCTATGGTACAGTAATGATTCTCATATCATACAATGGTACTTTTAAATATACGGTAACACGCTATATCTATATATCTATATATATGGGGCATTTAAGTAACTCCCAAAAGTTACCATGATACTGCCATGGTATATGTCCATAAACATGTAATTGTAGCATTTTAGCATTACTTTCTTGTAAATTGATTTATACCACAGTGTTGAAGTTTTTTTGTGTCTGTACCGTTGTACAAATAAAGGCACTGTTCTGAAATTTAAAGGCTTTTTGATCAGATCAGTCATTTTTAATCTGCTGCCTGCCATTGTCACCACTTAATGACCTACAAACCAGCCTGACCTGTTAACCAGACCCAAGAGCTCATTAACATGCTTCCCTAAACAGGTTGAACTTTAACAGATTCTGCTCTAATTAATCAAAATGCAGTAAAACTTCAAAATATATATCCTGCAAAATCTAATACTTATTTTTTTGGATGAAAATAAATAAAAAGCAGCTCCTCAGCATAGTGTAAAATGGATAAATGAACAAATAAATAAATAAATGTTGTCAAAGTAAAATCAGTTTTTTAAAAAAACTTTTTTATTTAAACCACAACAGTTTAAATGTACAAAAATGATTTGATTTAATTATTATTAAACATCATTAAATGCAATTAAAGTGCCTGCTTTATTATTTCTAACAACTTTTGTTGAAAATTATCTGAAACTGTCATTCGATGCAATGGTCTGGACTCTGGAGTTTGATTATGTTATACCTTTAATTTAAGCATATACAATAAGAAGAAGAAGAAAAAAAAACATCAGATTAGATAGTTCAGTAACAGAATTTGAAATAATTTCATGTACAGGTCTGAAGTTTATTAATTTCATTGAATTTCGTTAATTCAGCATGTGGAAACCGATGGTCACAGTTCAAATGTTGAAGTACTGTATCAATAGTAATTTTGCTAATTAAAGAATTAAATAAATAAATAAATCGCTGTCGCTGGGTCACTGGGTCACTGGTTCGAACCTCGGCTCAGTTGGCGTTTCTGAGGGAAGTTTGCATGTTCTCCCTGCGTCCACGTGGGTTTCCTCCGGGTGCTCTGGTTTCCCCCACAGTCCCAAGACATGCGGTACAGGTGAATTGGGTAGGCTAAATTGGCCGTAGTGTATGAGTGTGTGTGGATGTTTCCCAGAGATGAGTTGCGGCTGGAAGGGCATCCGCTGCATAAAAACGTGAGTTGGTGGTTCATTCCACTGTGGCGAGCCCAGATTAATAAAGGGACCAAGCTGACAAGAATGTGAATAAATGAATAAATAAATCTAGAATTAAAATTAAACAAGCTAGCACAATCATATCAATTCAAGTCGATAACCAGCTCTTTGAAATAACAAGCAATGATGCAAGTATTTAGTGTTAAAAGGGATTATATTTGGCAAGATTTAAGACTCGCTCTGTTGCTTGGAATGTATTGCCTAGTTTTAAAGGGATTCAATTTGAGAGTGTTTTTAGAAGGTTAATTAAAAAATGGTTGTTTTACGGTTGGAGCTGAGGGTTTTGTTGTGGTGTGTTGCTGATGATGTGTGCACACCATTTATGATTTGCTTGTTCATTTTTTAAGAATATCAAGGGCCACAATGGTAATAAGCCTGTGGCTTTTTGTGCATTTCATCCTCGACTGTTTTTAAAATTAGTTTGAATTAGTCTAATTGGACTTGCTTGTGTATTTCTGTTAAAATTGTCAAAGGCGACAAAGTCTCTCAGTGGTTAGCACTGTTGCATCACAGCATGAAGGTCAATGGTTTGAGCCTCGACTGGATCAGTTGACATTTCTGTGTGGAGTTTGCATGTTCTCCCCGTGTTGGTGTGGGTTTCCTCCGGGTGCTCTGGTTTCCCCCACAAGTCCAAAGACATGAGCTATAGGGGAATTGAATTAACTAAATTTGCCATAGTGTATGTGTGTGAGTGCAGGAGTGTGTGGGGTGTTTCCCAGTGCTGGAGTGTGGCTGGAGGGGCATCCGCTGTGTAAAACATATGCTGGATAAGATGGTGGTTCATTCTACTGTGGTGACCCCAGATTAATAAAGGACTAAGCAGAAGGAGAATGAATGAATAAATGAATGAAATAAAATCAATCGATTTATCAATCAAGATATAAATGTCCCCTAAATGTTTGTACATGGTGTTCAATTTCTTGTTTTTTTTTATTGAGGACAAAATTATCAGACTTTTAGAATATTTACCAAGTAATGTTTAACAGCGTAATGGCATTTTTCAAAGTATTTCTACTCAGTTGTGTTCTTCAAGAGAAAAAGTCTTATTTCTTTTAGTTTGGCTAAAAATTAAACAATAATAATAATTAAGTAAAAACTGCTAATTAGGCAAGTTATGGTATCTAGGCAAGTCATTATATAACAATAGTTTAATCTGTAGACTATTAAAAAATATGTATTGCTTAAGGGGGCTAATAATATTGACTTAAATGGTTTAAAAAAAAAACTGCTTTTATTCCAGCCAAAATAAAACAAATAAAACTTTCTCCAGAAGAAACTTTTTTTTAGGAAATACTGTGAAAAATTTCTGTATCTGTTCAACATCATTTGGAAAATATTCATTCATTTTCTTGTCGGATTAGTCCCTTTATTAATCCGGGGTGGCCACAGCGGAATGAACCGCCAACTTATCTAGCACGTTCTTCCAGCCGCAACCCATCTCTGGGAAACATCCAGACACACTCATATACACACACACACACACACACACACACACACACACACACACACACACACACACACTACGGACTATTCAGCCTACCCAATTCACCTGTACCGCATGTCTTTGGACTGTGGGGGAAACCAGAGCACCCAGAGGAAACCCACGCGAACACAGGGAGAACATGCAAACTCCACACAGAAATGCCAACTGAGCCGAGGCTCGACCCAGCGACTTATGGAAAACATTTGACAAAGAAAAAAATTCACTGGAGGCCTAATCATTTTGACTTGTTGTGTCCCACAGGTGAGTTCAGGAGAGAGGCGTCCTCAGCCCCCTCTCCTTCACCAAGATGCTCCATCCTCCCCGAACGACAGAGAGGTAAGAAGCACTAAACAGCTTTTCTGCCTTTGCTCTTCCTGAATGCATGTTTATGAGCATCTGCTTCCATGTGCCAGAAACACCCTTTAACTCTGCTGCACACAATATCTCAACTGTTACGAGTAAGAATACACCCTACTGCCATAACACAGCACAAGATTGCAGAAGCATTCAATGGAGTGTTTATTTCACGTCTTGCTGTCTGTGGACTAATACAAATTTATTGTAGAGATAACTTGCTTCAGCTTTTCTTGATGGTATAGAGTAGATGTGGGACCGCTCACAAAATTGTTGAATTTTATTTGTATTTTTTTCAGTTTATGTTGTAAATATTGAAACACAGATTAAGTCATAATTATTAACACTCCTATTCCTATTTTTTTTTTCTTTTGCAAATATTTCCTAAATGATGTTTAACAGATTCAGAATTTTTTTACAGTTTGTCTGATAATATTTCTTCTTCTGGAGAAAGTCTTATTTGTTTTATTTCAACTAGAATAAAAGCAGTTTTAAATTTTTTAAACCCTTTTTAAGGTCAATATTATTAGCCCCCTTAAGCAATATTTTTTTGATTGCCTACAGAACAAACCATCGTTATACAATAACTTGCTAAACAACCTAGTTAAGCCTTTAAATGCACTTTAAGCTGAATACTAGTATCTTGAAAAATATTTAGTCAAGTATTATATGCTGTCATCATCTAATGTAATGTAATGTGTATTTATATAGCGCATTTATTGTGTATGGCCACACACCCAAAGCGCTTCACAATCATGAGGTGGGGGTCTCTCTACACCACCACCAGTGTGCAGCATCCATTTGGAAGATGCGACGGCTACCACAGGACAATGGCGCCAGTGTGCTCACTACACACCAGCTATAGGAGGAGTGAAGAGACAGTGATAGAGCCAATTTGGTGATTGGGGATGATTGAGCGGTCATGATCGAAAGGGCCGATAGAGGGACTTTGGCCAGGACACCGGGGTTACACCCCTGCTCTTTTACGAGAAGTGCAATGGGATTTTTAATGACCACAGAGAGTCAGGACCTTGGTTTAACGTCTCATCCGAAAGACGGCGCCCACTGACAGTATAGTGTCTCCTTCACTTTTACTGGGGCATTAGGACTCACACAGACCACAGGTTGAGCGCCCCCTGCTGGCCTCTCTAACACCACTTCCAACATCAACCTAGTTTTCCCATGTGGTCTCCCATCCAGGTACTGACCAGGCTCAGCCCTGCTTAGCTTCAGTGAGTAACCGGTCTTGGGCTGCAGGGTGATTTGACTGTGGTAATCATAACAAAGATAAAATAAATCAGTGATTAGAAATGAGTTATTAAAACTATTATGTTTAGAAATGTGTTGAAAAAAATTCTCTCCGTTAAACAGAAATTGGGGAAAAAAATAAACAGGGGCTAATAATTTACACTTCAACTCTAATATACGTCAATAGCCTTCAAGTTCAACGCCATGTATTTTAATGTCAGTTTTAAAGTTTTAATTTAGTCTTTTGCTGATTCACATTACATATAGTCAGATACAAAAAAAACCCTCCAAACACTCGCTTACCTGTCAAACTATTGGAGAAAACCTGTTTACTGAACCGTGAAAAAGAGAACCGAATAGTCTTTTTTTTTTCCGTGAACTCTTCCCATCCCTAGTATAGGGTATTATCATGGTATTGATGATATGAAGCTGCAAAAAAGGTTATTTAACAGGTATCATAACAAAAATATTTACAGTTAAAGTCAGAATAAATAGCCCTCCTGAATTATAAACCGAATTACAAAATAAAAATAAAAGACTGAATTATAAATGCATAAGTTTCCCCAATTTCTGTTTAACAGAGTGAAGATTTTTTCAACACATTTCTAAACATAATAGTTTTAATAACTCATCTCTAATAACTGATTTATTTTATCCTTGTCATGATGACAGTAAATAATATTTGACTAGATATTTTTTAAGACACTAGTATTCAGCTTAAATGGACGTTTAAAGGCTTAAGTAGGTTAATTAGGCAAGTTAGATTTAGGCAAGTCATTGTATTTTGATGCTTTGCTCTGTCTTTAATCTAGCTGAAATAAAACAAATAAGAGTTTCTTTAGAAGAAAAAATATTATAGAAAATACTGTGAAAAATTCCTTGATCTGTTAAACATCATTTGGGAAATTTATATATAAAAAAATCTTCAGGAGGGCGAATAATTTTGACTTCAACTGTATGACCACTATAAAACTACATAAACTATAATTGATGTATTTATCAATTTAAACCTAAGAAGCTTTTTTTTGCATTCACATTTATTTATTTGGCAGATGCATTTATACCCAGAAAATGTTATCTTTTTTCTTTCAAATAAATTGCATTGCAGTTTTAATATGAAGTGTCTGATAAAGTGTCTGTGTAAACATGCTGTTTTTTTTAAGTTAAGTGATCTGCCTCTTGTTTTACAGAGAGCATTGCACAGAGATATGAAATGCGTTCGATAATTTCCAGCTGGTTGGTTAACACATGATATGCTATTATTGTGCTAAATAGGCTAATAATAGACTGGGTGATGTAGTTTAGCCTATTATGGATTCTGGCATTGAACCCCCTTTGAAGCACAAACCTTTAAACATGCCAAATAACAACATATTAATACACATTTCAGACTCTCAAAATCTTTGTGTTTTTATTATGAATCAAGTTACTATCTTTTCTTTTGGTGATTTTTGTTGTCTTTTTATGAATCAAAGCTCATGAGTTTGTGACCTTTGTGGGTAATTCAAATTTACTGATCAGTGAGCCGAGGTTTTGGTGATGCTTTTGTCTTTCTACCATATTTTTCTGTTTGTATTTCTTTCTGAAATTTCCATCAGATCTCCGAGTGAGTGAATTCCACGTCATCTCAACATTTCCAGGGCTCAACAATAAGATTTTTTTTGTTAGTTTATTTACTTCTTTTAATAGGACTGCCAACATTATATTGTCAGTATTTTTGTTTTACATGTACACCTTTATTTATAAATGATAAAAATATGGTTTATGATAATATTATATTTTTATGATTAATATGATAATATTATATTGTTATGTTATTTTTAAAATATATTATTTTAATATAATATTATTATATAATATTTTTAATATTACAGTATTTTAGTTGATTTTTTTCTTGGAAGGATAAATAATGTAGATAAAAAAAATCAAAATGTATTTTTATTATTATAATTTTAACATTTATAAAATGCATTCTGAACTAAATTAAACTAAATTGTTGTATTTTCGTTGAAAATAAGTTTGGGAGGAAAAAATTGTGTATTGTTTTTGTAATTATATTTAAGAACTTATTTATAAAATATCAAAATATTGTTTCATATCATTTAGTATTGATAATTATTGATTTTTTTTTAACAATACATCTAGGTATATAAGGATTCTTTAAATCACTTTATTTTAATTTACCAACATTAAAGGCAAGCAGGCAAGCAGTTTTAATAGTCAAAAACTAAAATATTTAAACAAAATATCTGGGGCCTGTTTCAGTAAGGAGGTTCAACCAACTTGAGTTGATTTACAGAGAGATTAAAAACTCAGAGTTTTCGGTTTCAGAATAGCTGATCTGAGCTATAGGTCAATCAACTTTGAGTAGACCAACTCAGAGTTAAGCGCCCACACCGCGACTGTAAAAAGGCATTAATAATGGAGCGCAGATATTACTAGTGACTATGGCTACAGCTGAAAAAAAAGAGATCAGCATTTCTGTCTCCAGCTGAACTTGATGTGCTCATGCAAAGTTATAGCACATATGAGCTTATATTTTAAAAAGCAACACCACTGCATCAGTGAAACAGAGACAGTTAGCGTGGGAAAATGGGTAATTTTACATTTAAAGTATTTAAATATTTAAGTATAATAAAATAAGTAATGTTATGCGTGACGTTTATCGAATAAAATTTTGTCCAATTTAGTTATGGCATGTTTTTTATGCGTTTTTTTAAAAAGGTATGTGCATCATAACGTCTTCATCAATTGTTTTCTATATGCGCATCTCCAAAATGAGCATTAAAATAGGTGGGTGGAAATGTAAGGGGTAAATGTAATACCGCTTCGTCTTTAAAAAAGGGGAGGAGACTGACAGAAACTCAGAGTTTAGAGAAAAAAACCTGCTCCTGACCAGGTTAGGTTAACAGAGTAAGTTAAATACTTTAAATAAGAGTTTTTACTTGACCTCTTTTCTGAAACGGGCCCCTGATCTCTTTATCATAAAATAAACAAGTGTTAAACAGACTTTTAAAATTGATGAATAAAATGTTATAAAGTGTGTGCAATGGTAAAGTGTAAATGCTGAACAATCAAAGTAAACTTTAAGGTAGATCAACATCTGTAAAGTGTTAATAATAATGAGACAGTAAACCTCAAACTCTGTAAACAACACAAATTATGATAATCAAATCTGAGCTTTCAAGTAAAGGAACCATCATTATTCAAATACATATATCAACATTACAAGTTGTGAAGTTCAATGACTATATGCTAAATCCTCTTTCAGATGGGGAGCTAGCGGATGCGCAAGAAAAAAAACTAAAAAGCCACATCCTTACATCCTTTTTTTATTTGTAGTGTCTTCACTGCTGCTATACAAGTCTATGTGTGCGCCGCTTGCACAACATGCCCCTTGGAAGCAATGCCAATAAGTTTAGGCTGTAAGTTTGTCATTTCCAATAGCTTCCAAGGTATTTGAAGCTTTTGTGTCTTTACATATTGAAAATATGTTGAGTTTTAGTCCGAGATAAAGAAATTTTGTATTGTTTTTTATTATTATATTTCAGAATTATTTAAAAAATATTCTGTATGATATATAAGTAATTATTTCTATAATTTATTTATTAATTTTGAGATATTATAAGTTTAATATTCACATGTGTATTTACAAATTTTGTGCATTTTTGCTGAAAATAAGTTAAGTTCACAAAAATTGTGTATTTTTTGTACTTATTAATAAGAATTTATTTATAAAATATTATTTATGATGTGTGAATATTTGTTTATAAAATATATATTTCTATAATTTATTTATTGATTAAGAGATGTTATAATTTTAATATTTTTATATAATGTATTCTGTACCAATGTTTTTAATTTATTGAAAATAGGTTTCAGTCCGAGACGAATAAATTTTATATTGTTTTTTTATTATTATATTTAAGAATTATTTTTAAAAAAAATTATGCATGATGTATAAGTAATTGTTTATAAAATATATTTTTTATAATTTACAGTTTTAGGGATATTATTTTAATATTTATATTTTGCATATTGTACTAATTTTGGCCATTTTCTTGGAAAAAAGTTGAGTTTTCAGTCTGAGACAAAAATTTGTGTATTTTTTGTAATTATATTCAATAATTTATTTATAAAAAGTATGTATGATGTATAAATATTTATTTATAGCATACATTTTGCTAATTTATTTATTAATTTAGAAATATTATAATTTTATATATTTACATAAAGCATTCTGTATTATTTTTTTGAATTTTTATAGAAAATATGTTCAGTTTTCAGTCTGAGACAAAAAATAGTAGATTTATTTGTAATTATATTCAAGAATTTGTCTATAAAATATTATGTATGATGTATAATATATATATATTTGTTTTTTTTACTTTTTGATTTGGAGATATTCTAAATATAATATTTCTATAATGCATTCTGTATACATTTTTTTTTAATTTTTATTGGAAATAAATTTTAATATTTGTAATTATATTAAAGAATTTATTTATAACATTTTATTTGATGCATAGCTATTTTTTTATTAAATAAATTTATTATTATTATATTTTATAATGCATTTCATAGAAAATTTTAAATTTTCTTTGAATATAAGTTGAGTTTCAGTCCGAGACAGTCAAAAGATAATAGTCAGGACTTTATTTTTGTGATGTATTTACTTTAGCTATTTACTTCAAGTGACAACCGAGCTTTTCCAGCTCACCCATCCTTATTTTTGAGCCCTAATTGTTCTTCTGCGCCATGATGGCTAGAATTACATTTTTGATGTCTCCACTAACAGCACATGATGATTTGACACCAGTCCGGCTGTGTTAGTGACATCAAACAGTGTAAATCTGCCGTCCCTCGGTGTGGATCCGCTGTCTCAACTCTCTTTGTGTTTCCACAGATGTCATTCTTCTGTCATGCTCCGGCTCTTTCTCTGTCATCTCACTCATCGTGTTGTTTTTCTCATTGCTCTTCATTAATGCGTTGACGTGTGTGTGGGGTTCGCTCAGCTGCTGGCTGGGATGATAGCAGAGCCTGCTTTTCTCTCTGAGTATACTATCTTTGCTCTGGACCACTCAAAACGACCCAAAGCGGCCCAGGTGCCCAGTGCGGTGAGTCTGTCCTCACATTAAACCAGCGCTTCTCAGCTCCAGTCCTCACGAGCCAACGCTCTGCACATTTTGCATGTCTCTCTTATGTAACACAGCGGATTCTGATTAGCGGCTCCGTGCTTGAATGGTGTTCTGCTTGATAGGGCCCCTAGATAGTGTGTGCATTGCTCCCTACAGCTCCTTAAGCAGGAAAAATCTTTACTTTATTCTGTAACTTTCATTGAATTTATTATTATTATTATTATTATTATTATTCATTCGTTTATTTTCCTTTGGCATAGTCTTTGATTTATCAGGGATCGCCACAGTGGAATGAATCGCCAACTATTCTGGCATATGATTCACACAGCGGATGCTCTTCCAGCCACTACCCAGTACTGGGAAACACCCATACACACTCATTCTCACACTCATTCACTACAGCCAATTTAGCTTATTCAATTCACCCAGGGGAAACCCAAGCCAACACGGGGAGAACATGCAAACTCCACATAGAAATGCCAACTCACACAGCCAGGACCAGTGACCTTCTTTCTATGAGGCGACAGCGCTTACCACTGAGCCACCGTGCCGCCATTATTATTATGAAAAAAACCAACTCCTAGTGTTGGATGTAATCAGTTAACAAGTTTCTGTAATTTAATCTATTTATCCACTTAAAAAGGAAAGTAAGGTATTAAGGTTTATTTTAAGGTCATTTTAAAGGGATGGTTCACCCAAAATTGCAAATTTACTCCCCGTTTACTCACCCTCGAATTATTTCAAACCTTTATGACTTTCTTGTATTGTTAAGCACAAATGAAGATGTTTTGAAGAAAGCTAAAAACCTGTAACCATTGATGTTCATTTTAGAAAAAGAAATTCTATGGAGGTCAATGGAGACCGGTTTCCAGCTTTAGCTCAGTGTTCAACAGAAAAACAAAGAGAAACTTATAAAGGTTAAGCACCTAAGAATGAGTAAATTTGGGTGAATTATTTTTTTTTAAAAGTAAAAAGAAACTCAAACAGCTTTGTGAGAAGTAAAGGGTGAACTATCCATTTATTTAGGTTATTTATAATGAATTTGCCTTAAATGCTTTAAATAAATCAAATATTTCTGTACAAATCCTATACAAGTCATTATTTGGTTATATAACCAGATGAAAAATAAAATTCAAGACGATATTGGGAAAAGCTGATATTGTGATGTTTTATCTTCCTGCGATGAATATTATGATGTAAATACAGTTTTACAGGATAGTTGAATAGCAGTATTTGATGGTTTTCTGGGGAATCTAACAGTATCCAGGTACAGAACTTGAGTAATGGCAATACAAAAACTGCTTTTCCTACTTTGCTTTCTCATTTCTAGTCCAAATATAAAAAAAATAAAATAAATTTTCGATCAAGTAAAATATTGTTTTTTATTTTTTAAATTCAGATGAAATAAGGCAAAATTAAGAGTTTTCCCTTAAAACAAGCAAAATTATCTGGCAGTGGGGTAAGTTAAATCATTTTATTTTTGCTTTGAAATGTAGATGTTTAGACTAGAAACAAGACAAAAATTAAGTACGTTTTTTTTGCGCATAATTTGTATAAATTCTGTGTAAATACAGTGATTAAATACAATTCTGTAGCTCCTGGTCAACTATAATCCACACTCAACATTGCCTTTGTTTGTTGCGGATGCGCACATTGTGGTTTTAATGCTGAAACAATATATTGCGCAGCCATACAAGACGATTACACAAGCTTACACAATGAATTGAGTCTAAAAAAATATTACAACCCACTGCTAAAAAACACTACTGTAATTTGCAGTAAATACTAGAGTGTTTTTGTAACCATACTAAAGTAAAGCTCATTTAAATGTATGTTCTATAGTATCAACTATAAAAATTTATTGTAGAAAAATAGTATATATAAACTAAACTATACTGATAAACCAAGAAATACCATATTATATTACAGTTTTACTGTATATTACTGTTTTTATTACTGTAAACTGTGGTGTATTGACGTATATAGTTTTAGATAATCTAGAACATTTTTTAATAATGTTATTGTGTTCTTTTTAAACTACTATAGTATGGTTCAAAAACACTATAGTATTTACTATAAATTACTATAGTATTTTTTCATGTGGGAATATGTATGAAATGTGTCATGTTTTAAAGCTTATTATATTCAAATGTTTGAATATTCAATAATTGAATGTTTGTTAATGCTTAAGGAATGTTTTTTTAAATAAGCCAAAATGCTGTTTTTGACTCAATTATGTGTTTAATTTCTATTGGCTCCTTGCTGTAATTTTTATTTTTTTATTTTAATTTTTTAGGTAATTTAATTGAATGAAGCAATTGCGTTTTGAGTTATTACATTTGAGACACCATAAATAGAAAATAAATGTAAATTTAGCTTTAATTATATAATTAGTAATTACTGATTATTAAATTTTTAAATGCAACATACCCTAAATTACTGCTGAAGTGGGAAGTTTAACAGATTATATATCTCTGTATTTAAAGGTCCTGTGAAGTGCTTTGAAATGTGCAATTATTCCTTGTTTGACGCAATCTCAACTAAAAAGTGAGGGCGGGGCATAGTGTAGCTCCTCCTCTTTTTAAAAAAAGAGCCATTTGTTACCATGTCAGACACTAGAGAGCATTTGACTGGTCAGAAGAATTGAAAAAAAACTCAAGCATGAGGTAACATCAAAAACATTTGTTGGTCAATTTAGGCAAACTTCAAGGTTTTAATGTTTATATCAGATTTATATCTTCTAAACGTGGATTTTGTCACTGTTTTGGAGCACACTAGATTCTAGATATCTTTAAAACAAACCCACTGATGATACTAACACTTAAAAAAACTTTCATGGGACCTTTAAATACCATTTAATTCACAATTCATTCACTTCTTAGGGCATTTATTGTTGCATTAGAGCAAACATCTGAAGTAATCAGAGAAACATACGAAATGTGCAGAGCTGTGGAGCGTGAGGACTGGAATTGAGAAATGCTGTATTAAACCAACCCTCTTTCCTGTCCCGTCCTGTCCCGTCTGCGATGCCTTTGGAGGTTATGGGCTGGAGGAGGCCGAGTAACACCTGCTTGCAGCTTTTCTTGCATAACCCAAAGGCATCTGGCTCTTAACCCCTGCATCTAATATCTGGCGTTCCTCCTCGTCAGGCCTAAGTGGTGGGATTGGCAGTTGCTTTTCTCAGTTTTTTTTTTTTTTTTTTTGTACCTCGGAATGATTTTCCTCTAGTTTGGCATCTTCAGGAATGAATGTTCTCCTTTAGTGTTAGATATTGCTCTGTTCCCTCTCCCTCTAACAGATCTGTAGATTCCTCTGTAGATTCCCTTGGGGTTTATAATGTAGTGTTGAATGTTCCCTTGCTGTTCCCTGAGAGTTCTTATCATTTACTTTTATGTTTCTGAAGTTGGATTATTGGAGGATCCTTTTGCTTGACTGCATTGAACGCGGGAGTGAAGTGTCACTTTAGTTTTTTTGCTAATTTAAATTGTTAAAAAAAAGCAACTACATTTTCTGCGTTGCAAAATACAGGTAATTTAGAAAGTATCTGTATAGTTCTGGAGTACAATGTAGTTTTTACAGATTATTTTAGAGTGCACTTTTGATAGATGCTGGTTTATTTTGTGCAATGTGCAATTACATTTTAAAAGTTCATATCAAAATCATAATATTAATAATAAGATGGAGAGGCTTTGTGGATATTCCAGGCTATTATACAGCTATTAATGTAAATTTGTTCTGGGTTATCAACACTGTTCATTACTTAAGTTATATATCATTATCAGGGCTCAACAATAAGGACTGATTGGGCCGATTGGGCCAGTGCTGCCTTGTCACAGAAGTTTGGCTGCGACTGACTGTCACTCTGCTTTATATTTGGTGACTATGTCTGTGGGTGTCAAAGTTAAAGTGCACATTTTCACTTATAAAATATTATATACACAACTGCTCAAAAGTTTGGGGTCAGTATGATTGTTAAATGTTTTAAAATACGCTCCTCCTGCTATCCGAGGCTGCATTTATTTCATCATAAATACAGTACAAATTGTGATTTGTGATTGTTATTCCACTATAAAATAACTGTTCAAAAGTAGTTTATTGCTTAATTTTATCATTTATTCCAGTGATTTTAAAAATGAATTTTCAGCTTCATTACGCCAGTCTTCAGAGTCGCATGGTCCTTCAGAAATCACTCTAATATTAATTGTTATTTTTGTTATTAATGGTAATAGTAATAAAAGCAATAATGTCTGGAGTAATAATTTCATTTGAAACTGCATACAATAAGAAAACAGTTATTTAAAATTGCAATAAATATTTAACAATTAAAAAAAAAACTTATTGATTTAATGAACTTGATGAACTGAATAATTTTTCTTTAAAAACACGAAAAAAATTAATAAAACTGACCCCAAACTCAATTATGTTTGGCTTTTGAAACATTTTTTAAAATATTGTACGTGGCTGAGAAATGGCTATTAACATCTTTTGTTTGGTGGGCCAGTGAAAATTTTGGCAGGGCAAGTAAAAATATGAACCACTGGGCAAGTAGAAAAAATTCTTAGCGTTGAACCCTGGTTATAGTGTGTGTATATATATATATATACTTTTAGATTTTAATAATTTTAAATAATTGTGTTATGCACTTTTGACTTTTGTATAATTTGTGAGTTTATTATTTGAAATTGATTCATTAGAAATATTTTTTTTGTTAACATTTCAATAATTTGATCATTTGTTTATCAATCTTTAATTTAATTTTTGAATTATTGAACCTATTACTTATTACTGCATTACTTATTACTGCATTATCCAAAACTCAAATCTTAACATTATTTATATGCTATTATGTAATTTGAACAAGCTTTTATTTGTTCACTTTCCATTTTGTTTAGTATGCACTTACCGGCCACTTTATTAGGTACAACTACTCGTTAACACAAATTTATAATCAGCCAATCACAGCAGCTCGGGCTCACCAA